TACTCCATAAATATTGTATAGATCTGATGTCATATCTGCTCTTTTGATCTGTTACACCCAGCAGCAGGACCCAGTTTAGTTCAGGGTGCTACAGTCATATATCCTATACAGCAAAACTACTGAAAAGGTGGACTCCAGTCCAGACCCGGAGAAGGAATAAAACCCACAGCTACATTAAAGCTCCGGACATGAAGCTTCCTTCGTCCTTTAAAAAGATTCTGGATTTCTTACCGCTCGCTCTGCCAGGGTGTGGCTTTGTTAGACCACAGCTCCCATTGCTAAGGCTCCATGAGATCTCCTGGCTGGCCTGGAAGGGCCTGAGCCAGCACACAGCATCCTGCCGAGGGAAACCCCCTAAGAACTGGAGCAGCACCTCACGGTGCTGAGACACCAAACTCAAGCCCTCACCAGAGCCCTCTTGCTAAACACAAGCTCAGGAAAAGAAGGGAGCAATTCCCTCCACACTCACAAGCCGAGAGAGAGCCTCCCAGGACTGGCACGCTACTCCTGCCACCCTATAACCACAGGCAACCAGGGAGCACTGCCAAAGAGGTGCTGCTTCAGCCTTCTGCTCAAAGGGTGCAGTAGCAAATGCACTGCTCTTGCAGTGTACGGAGCACTGATGTTTCTGCCTCTGTGAAGGATTCCTTTCAAAACATGACTCAGTGGCTTTCCTAGCTATTCCTGCACATATATCTTGCCTTGCTTTCCAATGCACTGGCTCCAAGATTCTTAAATCAGTTATGATTTCATAATTATGGAGTTAAGGTCTTTGTTAGCTCCGTGCACAAAAAGAAAAATTTCATTACTATCACTGCAAAAGCCATTAATTAAATGTACATATATATGTCTACACTTCCTACAATAAAAATGACCATTACATGAAATTTCAGAGGCCTACTAGATTAATTACTCCAAAACTTCCCTTCCACCACAAATATTACAGATCTTATAATGCTTCACACACACACACACAGAACTAAGTAATGAACATTTTATAAATAACAACTTTTTACTTACTGATAACAGTAACTGAAACATACACACATTCCCCAAAGGAAAAAAGCACAAACAAATCTGAATCTTGAGCAAGCCAAGAAATGCCTTTGAAAGATTTTTGCACTGCACAGTAACATTTTAATCCTTCTTACTTAGCCATCTCCTTCTCTCAGTGACAAGTTCCACAAAGAGCAAGCTCCATAAATTAGCGTGCAATTCATCAATGTCCAAAGCACTGTCAGAAAACAGAGCTGCAATATCAAAATATTTGCCAGTTTCAATTTGTGATGGCGTTGGGTTTTGTATTTGTGTTCATATTCACTGCATGGAATCATATGCCGATACAGCAAGAGGATGAGTGTTCCCAAAAATGTACTTTGAAAATATCAAAATGCCCAATAACTTCAGTTACCTGACACAGAGCGTAGACGCAACTCAAATGTGTGGGGGGAAAAAAAAAAAAGGTGCTGTATTCAAAAAGGCCTCAAAAACTTCAATAACGTGCCGAACTGTGACCCGCACTGCTTCGTTTTACAGTACGTGAAACCCAACGGGAGGTAGAGATGCTGTGAGACAGGCAACCTCAACGACACCATGCCTTTATTTTCTGAGCGGCATCCTTAGGCTCTATCCCATGTGTGATTCCCTGCGACGTTTCCGGCAGCCTCGGCAGCACACAGGGATGAATCCCGGCCCATCACACTTAATGTACAGAACATAACTGCCGTGACACATCACTCCTCGACCTTTCTGATTTATTCGGAAAATAAATACCTGAATGAATAACTCCGAAAACCCAACCGAAGCAGCGTGGGTTTTTAAATGCAAACACAAAGAAGGTCGCACTCGGCTTCGCGTTCCTTCCTTCCACCCTCCCCCACGTCCTGACACCGAGCCTTTCCAATTAGGCCACAAACAAACACCCAAAGCCCAGCGAGGGCCCGGGCCGCCGCGGGGCCGCGACTTCGGCTAGAAATCCTCCACGTGTAAACGGGAGCGCAGAGGCCGGACACCACAAAGGGGCGAACAAAGTGTCAAACGCTCGGCTGCTGTCAGGAGCGGGGAGCGGCGGAGCGCCGGGCAGCGCCGCGCGGAGCCCCCGACAGCTTGCGGGCCTTTGTCAGCGCGGTGCGGAGCGCGGCGCGTGCTACAGGTTGATAAGGCCCCGCCCGCCCGCGGGCAGCGCCCGGACACCGCGCGCGGAGTTCCTTCCTTTCCGCGCTCGGCCGGGCCGCGCGCTCCGCACGACGCGCACGTCTCTTCGCGGTGTTTGTTTCGTGTTTATCTCCCCCCCCACCCCACCCCCCCTCCTCTTTCTCCTCCCTGTCCGGCCATCTTGGGCCGGCAGGAGCAGCCATTACTTAACTCAATGACAGGGCCAACAACTTTTCGCGGACGCGAACGCCGCTCCGCGAGGCCGGGCGGGCTCCCGACGAGCCGCCCGGCAGCGGGGATGCGGGGGAGGACCGCGAGAGAGCGGCCGGCATGCCGCGAGTTCGGGGCCGGGAGTCGCGCTCCCCTTCGGCGGCGCTTTCCGCGCCCCTTCCAACTCCCAACTTCTCCCCCGGCGCTCCGCGGCCGCGCGGGGCCCAAATCGCGAGGGAGGGTCCGGGGAGAGGGCAACGTCAGCAACGCCTCGCGGGCGCCCTCCCCCCGCCGCCTCCTCCTCCTCCCTCTCCCCCCCCCCCCCGCCTCCCTCCCCTGCGCCCCCTCCGGCCCCCCCC